AGAGAGAGAGAGAGAGAGAGAGAGAGAGAGAGAGAGAGAGAGAGAGAGAGAGAGAGAGAGAGAGAGAGAGAGAGAGAGAGAGAGAGATGACTGAATCATAGACGTGAGGATTACAAAGGCAATGCCTGTGTGGAGGGGATTGTGACAGCAATGGAACAGCGATTGGGAGGTCTATGAATCATATCCATTAAGCCCCTTAAAATACCCTTCCTGGTCATCGGAAGAGCAAACACCATGCCATTAAAATTTCCGCCCAAAATGTCAAGCCCTTAAAATACTCTTTCTTGCCATCAAAAGACCAAGCCGCCCTTAAAAATCGGTTCAGAATGGCTCCAGTAACAGTAACAGCTCTAGGGAATAGCTTCACTACCCTGATAAATAAATACAAAGGATTTACGCGTATGTGCTTCACTCAACGCCGCGCTACGAACCTTTAGAATAGGGAAAGTACCTTTTCACAATTTTCTAATTGGCACAGATCTCCTTCAATTAAACCACCAGTACTTCGTAAAGTCGTTCCCGTTAACAAGCCACAATTTTAGGAAACGTACAGGCCACTAGAGGAGCGCCCAAATTCATCCAACTAGAATCGTTTCTACTCTATTTTTTTCTGCGGCCGATAGCTGGGCGGCATGGGCCTAGTATTGGTGGTTTAAGCTGGTTGTTATCATACCCATTGGCGAGTGGATCTGAACTGCGACCCCCCTCAACGAATGGCTCTAGGTGGGTACCATCCAGACCCCGGTCAGGGTAATTATCTAAAACAATCTCAACTCTGTGGTTATCGAAAAGAAAAATGCGCCTATATTCCTAGGATTCAGATCCCTTAGGCCTATTGTATGCATACATCAACACGTCCCTTATTCCTTAATCTGATTCAGTATACATGATCGATCACTGCAAATGACAGGTAAACTCCAATAATCATTTTTATTCTCAAGTTCTCAACTATATATATTCTAAGCTCAATTAACTTAAAAGTTAAATAATATTACGGCACGTGGAGACACCATATTCTTACAATCTTCACTTTCCTCAGGCCCTGTCCGGAAACCAAAGCGGAGGATATGTCTGAGGCGCTTTCACCTGAACGGCACCTCGTATTGACATAATGATTAAGGTCCGTAATTACAACAACATAAATGACTTACCCCATGCGGATGGTAGAAGAGGAACAAAAAGACATTCAACGGAATCAACACTGATAACTTAATAAGAAAATAAATAATAATAATAATAATAAGAAGAAGAATAAGAATAAGAATAAGAAGAATAATAAGAAGAAGAAGAAGAAGAAGAAGAAGAAGGAGAGAAAACGGAAAGGTACAAAAAATGCATGCACAAAGAGGTGGTGATTGAGATGGGATCTGATTCTGCCGAGTTGTCACCCCCTTGCTTGGATTGGAAATGCCGCCGAGAAACAGAAAGGGGGTGAGCGTCACACATGACTGACTTGAAGGCTAGAGGGCAATAACCACTGCAGTTGCGAAAGTGGACAAAAATGCCGTAGCCAACGACCATGTCCTCAATACTTCACCCTTGCTAGTAGATGCCCCCTTCTCCGTGCTGCATGGCAAGATCATCGGGCTGACAGGACTGTTGGGCGGCCCACACGTTTCTGGCGTCAAGATGGCCTCTGCTTCCCCCTGCACACCAAAGAATGGAATCACATGACAAAACTCAGAAAACAGAACTTTGCAAACCAAAATTGGTGAGGATGGCTTGTATGAACAAACAGAACGTTCATGATGAAATGATAGAGACAACAATCTAAAATCATCAGCTGCCTCGGGACTGATCAAGCTTCTCGCACACATTTGTTTCCCTCTCTCTCTCTCTCTCTCTCTCTCTCTCTCTCTCTCTCTCTCTCTCTCTCTCTCTCTCTCTCTCTCTCTCTGTGTGTCTGTGTCTGTCTGTGTCTGTCTCTCTCTGTCTGTCTGTCTCTGTCTGTCTCACACACACACACACACACACACACACACAC